TAACGTTTAATGTAACTAATCTGGCTCCATGTGTATTTCTGTATTTCATACAGTTGTTGTTTCAACCATCTACATTAGGTTGCATCTGTTTAATTATGATATTAGAAGCAGATCTGATTATCAGACTAAGCTATGATGTTTTTGTTTTTTTAGTAAATATTAAATGTTTGTTCTGGATGTCTTTTTATACAGGATGTGCAGTTATTAGATCAGACATTTATATTTTTAGATATTATTCATTTTATTACATTTAAATTGATTGGTGTAGTTACGTTTTTTTTTTTTACTTTGCTCCACTTAAGGCACTTTAACGACACAGAATAATGATGAGTAGAAGATCAGAACCTGACTGATAGCTGCAGATGATTTGTTAAAGAAATGTTAAACAGAAAATGTCTTTATTAGACGAAAGTTTGTTTGATGCTCTGCAAATGAAATTTGCTGCTTTATTTTATTGCATAAAAATAAAAAAAGTTAACCACAACAATCCTGTTTTTGCTTTAATATATTGGTTTTATGATGGAGAATATTTATTAAAATACTGAATTTTGAAAAAAAAAAAAATTTCAATGTTTCAAATATTTTTTTCTTTATGTTGAAATTATATTTCAGGAAGAAAACATATTTTTAGTCCATTCTTTATTTTTATAATTTTCCTCCCTGTGAATCAGTCGCTCTCCTAGTCCAGGAGACGATCATGATCACCCGTTCCATTAAACATCTGAAATAATTTCTAACTCTGGATATTTATTCATTTTTGGTTTAAAAGTTTAAAAATGTTCTCACAATGTTCTCTTACTTTTGGAAATTGTACAGAAATAACAGAAACTAAAGCAAATCTGAGGAGTTATGTGGAAGTTTTTGTTAAACAAGCATAAACGAGTCATAGTCGATGAGTCATAGTCGATGAGTCATAGTCACACAGCTTGGTTTTTAAGGGGTCCAATACTGATTCAAAGCACAGTTGATCTGAAGACTTTGCTTCTCTTGATCTATAAAATCTAATAAATCAAGATTAGATATTGTCTGCATGGAAAGAGGTTTGGATCAGAAATCCCATTGAGAGAAATCATTTTTTTTATTGCTTCAAGAAAACAGGATTCTGCCGCCACGTTTACTCTACACACTAAATCTAATCTGGGTGTTAAGTGTTGGTTTTCAGCCATAAACAGAATCATTTACCCCAAAGTGTCTACTTTATACACTTTGTTTTTCAAAGTTCCTGTTGGCCATTATAGGTTTTCAGTTTCAGCACCAGTAGGGCTGGACAGTTCCCCCTGGTCCCTATTGGCTGGCATCAAGGGAAAACATTATTTATACTTAATGAAAACAAAAACACAAACTAAAATGAGATTCCTGTTTTCCCCGTTACATTAATAATTAGTCAATAATGAATTCATTATGAGTTGCAGATAATATCAGGAAGTGGGTATTGCTGTAGGGAAGAAAAAAGCCTTTCCTCACTCTACATGTATAATTATAAAACCTTTAGTCGAGATAATATGTTCCCTAATCGTTTGGCTGGAAACAGCCTTATTAGATAGAAAGCGGCAGTCATTGCCTCTTCTATGTTTATACAGAAACATCTTCGGCTCTGAGGACGTTTTAATTATTCTGAGAAAACTCAGAATCTTTTCCTGGACTTGTTAAACACCAATAAATTAAACATGACCTAATATTGAGCTGCATCATCATTACATTTAAATTTAGGTTATTCTTTTCTGTTTTACATGGTGTTTCACAAGAATATCAACAAATTTATTCAGTAATTATTTAACTTTCTCTGCTTTGTTTTCAATTTCCATTTTATAGCTTTTTAGAATCGCCCTGGATTTCTTTCTTTAATATGTTCAATCTGAATGTGAAACTATAAACATATTAATGTCTGTTGTATGAGGATGGTGAATAACATTGCAAAGA